TAAGTAGTTTTATTTATCTTTTTTCTTAAAATGATAAGTGATTAAGTATTGGATGGAAGTTGTGTGAAGTATTAGTCTTTAATGTTGGAAGAAGTTGTGATGATTTTAAACTTGTACTTCATTTGCTTCTTGATTTAGTCAATTAAGATGTTAATACCTGTTGTGAGAACATGTAAGATCTGATATAGTATTGTCTCAGTCAATAAATGATAAGAATCACATGAAATTGTTTAGATGAGAATGTAATTCATATGATTGAGTGCAAATAAATAGGAAAATAAACTTTTAAGGGTGTAGAATTAGAGGACTTTAGATTGACTGTCTAAAACCCCCAGTTTGATTTATAGTTTTAGGTTTTGGTACGAGATGTTAGCTCTCAGGTGGAGGGAGAAGAGGGAACTCTAGAGTGAGAGCTAGTATCTTCCTTACCTAACCCGTCTTCAAGACTATTTAAACTTTAAATTAGTCAATGTTCTTTATAGTATCTCTAGTAAGAGTAAAGAGTATTATCGCTCCTATTTGACACAGCACAATTAGAATACTTTCATAACAAAATTCTTATACTTATTACTAATTCATGATAAAGAAAAATTATTTTATTTATATTGCTTTCACTTTAAAAGTATTTAGTTAAGTTTAGTTAGTTGTTTACTTTATTTTCAATTATGAAAAATTACAAAAAGAATCAAAATTTCATTCATATTATAACATCTAGAGTTTGAGTAAGAATATTTTGCTAAGTAGAATTTGTTATCTAATTTCTCGTGATTTGAAGTTCCATATTGTAGTTATCCATGTGGGTACGATATTTGGGGCCCAATCAAAATGTCATATATTACATGATAACAATACATATACTTGCGTAGTATCCCATATTAAAATATAATAATTGTATTCTTATTTGCTTCGAAGTCAAGTTTGTGTCTAATTATTGCTAGTGATCAAGTTTTTGCCACCATTGCAAAGTAAGAATTATAAATAAGGAAAAATTAAGAATTTAATCGCATACATCACATTGACATATAAAGAATTTCAGGATCAAGTGACATGCTAGATTCTTATTAATTTGGCTTAATTTTTAGTACCCTGACACTGGGATTCGATCATTACGATGGCAAAGGCTAGAGGCATCTAGAGGTGAGAGGCTAGATAACGCTCATGTGGAGTCGAGATGTCAAGGAATCGACCTTAAGTTAGCTAATGTTCTTTACTAGCACCGAGAGGAGGTAAAGAATAAGGTATGCTTCTATTTGTCACAATTCCTCAATTTTGTCTTAAATCATGTGAATCCTACATAGATTAAAATCTATTTACAAGGGGAAATATTTTTCATAATATCCAAACTCGTTGTTATATTTTGCTAAGCTTTTACATTTAGTTGTTACTTTCTATTTAGCTTTAGTAGTAATTTTTAGTAAACATGTCATTTTAAATATTTTACCTTTTTAATTTGCAATTTAAATAAAATTTCTATAAGTTGATTTTAAGAGTTATCGCATTCCACATGAGATCGATACTGGGGTTTATAAAAAAAATTCAATAATACTTGAAACGATACATATACTTGCATAGTATACCTAGTGTGAAAATCTATTATATAATTCATAAATCATTGCAAGTGTTCACACTAGCCACTAGATATAAATTGAGATATATTTTTTGGCATAATTAAGGAGATTAAAAATATGTGTAAGTGCGGGTTGGGTCAATAAACAATGCATATTTGACAACACCTTTTATGAGTGCTATGAAAGATACCTAAAACAATGCACAAAAATATTTCATTTAAATTTTTTTCTCTTACACACTAATTTATCCCGCCCTATTTCCCCGCCATTCCTCTCTACCTAGCCTACACTCCCGACCCTCTCAGATTTCACCTAGACAACACTTTCTATTGGTGACTGAACGACTCTCATCGTACCCCATCGTCTTTAGGGTTAACTATGGGAAGGCAATGACAAGATTGTCATTGGCAGTGCACCGACGAGATCGTTGGATTATATACTTTATTCTTTTCCCCTTAACGACAGAATCACTGGATTATATACTTTGATCTTTTCCCCTTAACGACGAGATCACCAGATTATATACTTTGATCTTTTCCCCTTAATGATGAGATCGCCATATTATATACTTTGAACCTTCCCCCTTCTCCTACTCTTGCTCTGCTCCTACCCAAACCCATAGAGGAAACTAAACTTGCTCCACTCCTACAAGAAGGCCTCATATTACAACTCTTATTTGTCATAATATGTTGTTTAGTTGGCTTAATGCCCACTTCTTTTTTTCCAAAGTTTGATGCATAGCTTAAATTGATCTAGCTCATAGATTTTTTTTTTAAAAAAAATTTAAACTTAATTTAATAAATATAAAATGAAAGGAGAACAATTGTCGGCAATTATGAAGAATTATACAAAAAAAAAGTAATATATAAGACAAAAAAAATATATTTAATAGCCAATGTTGGAAAACAATGTAGATCATAAAAATTACAAAAAATATTTAATAGCCAATGTTGGAAAACAATGTAGATCAGAAAAATTACCAAAAAAAAAAAACTTATTTGAAATACCTTGCTTGATGCTTGATGAACAAAGCAGAGTAAAGATAAATTTTAGTCTCAATCATGTCATATCCAGCCAATGTGATTTGAACCCATTTGATCAAACAGAGCTTCAAAACTTTAAATATTTGCATTTAAATCAAAATATTGAAAAGAAACATGATCTCATCACGTGCTACCTTATTTTATTAAACATGAAGGCTCAATTAATTGTGATGCATGGTTTTTTTTTTCAGATTGTATGATTTATCTAGGTTAATTTGAAAATATATTGGGTTATACAACTCTGATGCAATAATTTTAAATTTCATTGAAACTAAAAATAACATGTTTAATATTCAAAAATTGCAAATTAACAGATTTTTCTATATTATGAAATATGTCAAAGATCATTTAATCTCCAGAGGAAATTTTCTCGGTTATGTTGTGTGGAACCGACATGAGGAAGAGTATAAAACTATGAGTGAAGTTGCAGAATATTAAATAATACACAACATGTTTGATATTCAACAATTGCAAATTCAAGCAGAAAAACCAAACATGAATGATATAGAAGGATTAATAAGGGACACTTTTAAGCCTTGTTATAAGATTTACTTTTATAAGATTCATAGTTTTTTTCTGTATGTAAATTTTGTTAGAATAGAAGGCAAAGAACATAGTATTGGCTTCAGCCTTTTAACATAAATTTGAGGCCAAGTTGTGAATAATTTGAGGCCTTGAGCTCATTTGTTCTCAGGCTTTGTAAAAGGGCAGCTCTCTTCTAGCCTTGCCCATTGAAATGGATTCTCATTTCATCATTTATTTATTTATTTATTATGTTTTTTTTGGGCTGACATGATAATGCAACCATAGACTTTGCTAAGAAATTTAATGCTTGGATTCTCATTGCTGGGCTTTATTGATTCAAACTTATAATGTGATGCATGGAAACACAATAAATCATAATTTGCAATTCTCAAATTCTTAAGTTTAATCAAATAATAGTATCTCTTAATGCAAAAAGACGTTTTTAAATTACTCGGATGATAATTTAAAACAAGAAATTTGAGAATAATCAAAACACTTGATATTAGACCTAACTCATATTGGATCAGTGCTAACAAATGAAAGTTTGAATGTCTAAGTTTGTGGCATATCTGATAATGCGTGGATTGGGATGATCTTCATTGTGCACCTATTTGGAGTTAGTGGTGCTTCGTATAAAAGGATGCACTTGAGTTATGCCACGAAGTTTCTTCGTATAAAAGGATGCACTTGAGTTATGCCACGACCTTCGTAGTTGGATTATACATTTTTCTTCAAGTGAGAGAAATGCTACTTGAGATGTAGAGTGCTCTTTAGCAATTTCAACAACGTTATTCTCTTCGCTACATAATAATTAATAAAAGTCATCAAGATTGTTTGGTATTAATTGGTGGCTATTAATTGATATGTTTAATTCGATGAGAATTAAAAACAAAGTGTTGTTAGTAGGAGAAAAATTTGCATACGTAAGACGTACGCAGCACTGCGTATGTCAGAGATATTATTTGGAGGGTATTGAGAGTTTATATCTGTGTTATACTCCATGTAACATACCTGTAACCTACAAATATATGAAAATAGATGAGCGGAATTTACTAGAAGTTACAGGTATGTTACAAAGAGATTACAAGAGATATAACGTGGATATAACCCTCAATACTATCTGAATAATCTCACTGAGGTACGCAAATTTTTTTTTTATTTATAAATATGTAAATGTTTAAGGAATTTCGTGTGGTTTTTTTTTTTTTCTTAAATGCTGGTTGAATAATTTATTTTCTTACATCGCTATGTGGGAGGGTCGGGACCGGTGAGGGGTTTCATTTTTGTGCCCTGTTGGGCTCCCCATTTTCCAGCGTGCGGACACCGCATGCATCTCTGCATGCGGTGTTCGATCCTGGCCGTAGATCACGGTGATCTACGGTCAGGATTATTTCCGTTTTTAAAAAAAAAATAAAAAATTTTAGGTGGGGCCCACCGAAATACATCAGATTTACTTACGGTCCGGCCGATCCGCATGGAATAATTTTTCGTTGGGCTCCCCATTTTCCATTCCGATCTGCTGCTCCGAAGGTGCCAAAGAGCCGGAGTTCTGTCGCCGGCGAACCAGGTGTTTTTATCTGCCTACTTAAGCGTCCCTTTGGTAGTGGCATCCCCTTTGGACTGCAGCCTGAGCAATTGCGGAGGTTGTCCCCGGAGATGTACAGCGCCACAAGCGACGGCGAGGTTGTACCGGACGCGGTGCCCAAGAAGATCCCGCCGGCTTCTTCCATGCCGTGGGTTCGAAACCTCCGTAGGTACATCGGATCGGGGGCTGGCTTAGGCTCCGAGGCACGAATGGGTCAGACCGTACTCTCTCTTCTTCTCCCTCTCCTTCTCTTTCTTTTGCGACATTATGGTTGAATCGGGATTAATTTGGTGGGAGTTTCTGAAACTGGAGATTTTAACATTTCTACGAGATCTCTTCAGGGTGTTTAAGATATTGTTTTTGGTATTTTGATGCTACAGATGGAGGTTGCTTAGGTTGTAGGGTACGGAATTGATGATAATGCAAGTTGCAGAGGTTCTCCTATCTTTTTTTTGCTCCAATAAGTTCTATTTCCTTAAGTGCTATATGTTTTACCGGGGCTTGGGTAGTTTAAGAGGTGCACTTGATATGCTGAAATTTTAAGAAGCTGAGATCTTCGCACTATGGCACGCTTCCCTTTCTGTCCGGAAAGGGGCCTCGAGAAAATTTCTGTTGGCCTATCATTTTGTATCGCTAGCTACTGTTTGTAGGAAGATTTACATACACACCACTCAATTCGTATGTATTTACATTTTTTATGCCTGTAGTTCAATTTTTACATACATACATGCTTAGCTATACATGAGAAGGTGTATTTCACTTTTTAAAAGTTAAAATGGTGGTATTTTAGAGGTGATATGAAAGATTTGAGTGGTATAGATGTAAAATGTAAAATTTAGGTGTTATATATATGTAAATACATAGGAGTTGGGTGGTTTGTATGTTAATGCTCCTTGCTTCTAATGCTTTTGCTTTGAATTGGTCACTGTTATCTCTCAGTTGAAAGAAGCACTGCAATATAAAAAAAAAAAACATATAAGGATTTAGCCAATCTAAAAACATCCATGATCATCCGCAAAGGGCTGCAAGGATTACTCTATCAAGAAATTGTCAATTACAGTGCCCCCTTGCATCATTGTTGTTTTTTACATAGAGCTTTAATCATACCGAGAGTGCATGGTTGTTAGGTTTTCACTGGACTTACCAGTTCTTAGGACAGGTTTGCTCTGGTTTCTCCTTTTCATCTATTTTTTGGCAGACCAGTAAAAAGCATCGACATTTTGGATAAAAAATTGGGCCTTTTTCTTTTGCTTCCCACAAAATTTGTTTCAAAATAGCCACTTATGAATAAAATAGAACGAAAACCATGGCTGAAATCAGCTTTTGAGAAGCTCCAACAAAAAAATGGAGCAAAGAAGCATATCAAAGGAAGTCTTAGTGTGCACTATTTGTTGTATGTTTTTTACCCATTAAATGCACATTAGAGGGTATAGGATGCACTAATAAATTATACACTCAATGTGGATGGATTTGGGTGGAAATGGGATTGAAAAAAATAATGTGATTTAAATTTGTGTAAAAAAATAAAATAGATTTAGCAACTCATCTATTACTTACTTGGAAATAAAGGAGTATTCGTAATGCCCACCACTTATGGTTGATGTAAAGCCATTGTTTTAATAGGGATTTTCTAGGCTCACTTTATGGTTAGAAGAGAATGGATAGGTGTGCGGGTGGTGGGGAGTGTTGGTCTTGTTAGGTGGATGTCCCAATTGTTTGATGGTGCCCCAAAGCATATGAGGTGAAACTTTTACTTTTTATTGGGAGGCTTGTGAAGGGAAATCTATGATCAATAAGCTAAAATAACCCTAGTTGTTTTTTGATTCAACATAATCTAAAGCTACTTTGTTAAAAAACCAACATACGGGCAAGTGCGCATAAAACATTTAACAATTTAATTGCAAAAATTTTACATGAATTTTGAATTCAAGTGGTTAATTCAAAACTGCAGAACTAAAAATTTCAACCAAAATATGACTTAATTAAAAATTAGGAACTGCTATATTGGATTATTTTTAAATGCATTTAATTGAATGTTTATTGGGATAGAACAACAACAAGCCTTTATCCCACCAAGTGGGGTCGGTTACATGAATCCTTGTTCTCCATTGCGTTCTATTGAATGTCATAGTTTCATTTAATTCTAATAAATTAAGATCATTTCTTATACAACATGCCTAAGTTTTTCTAGATCTACCTCTGCCTTTCTTAACATAAGTCGAATCTAAAACTTCTACTTTCCTAAACTGATCATCAGATGGTTAACGTTTAATGTGACCAAACTATCTAAAATGACTCTTTCTAATTTTGTCCCCCACAAGAGCTACACCGACCCTTTCACGGATATATTCATTTTGCATTTTGTCTTTAAGTGTGAAACCACTCATCCACCTAAGCATTCTCATCTCGACAACACTTAACTTAATTTATCTTTCTCTTTTAAAGGCCAACATTCTGTGCCATAGATCATTGCAGGTCTCGTCATGATCTTATAAAATTTTCTTTTAGTCTAAGCAGTACTTTTCTATCACACAATAGACCCAAAACATTCCTCCGCTTAAACCAACCAACTTGAGTTCTACTAATAACATCCTCATCTATATCACCATCACTTTGAACAATAAACCCGAGATACTTAAAACACTCACATCTTTTAATAATTTCACACCCTTAGTTACAACTCTGTCACGAAAGCTTCTACTACTAAAACTACATTTTATGTGTTTAGTTTTAGTTCTAATCAAGCGAAGTCCTTTAGACTTCAATGTATACCTCCATAATTCAAGTTTTTCCTGAGCTCTTTCTCTAGTCTTATCCACAAAAAGGTTATCATCGGCGAAAAACATACACTAAGGTACATCCTTCTGTAAATGTCCAATAAGAACATCCATAACTAAAGCAAAAAGATACGGGCTTAAAGCCGATCTGATGTAATCCGACTAAAATATGAAAATAATTGGTCAATCCTTCTTCTGTTCGAATGCAAGTAACAGCTCTAGTATACATATTTTTGATGATTTGAATATAAGTCATATCAACACATTTCTTCTTTAGGACTCTCCAAAGGATATCTCGTGGAACCTTATCATAAGTTGTTTCTAAATCAATAAAAATCATATGTAGATCCTTCTTATTTTCTCTACACTTCTTCATCAAACCTCTCAATAAATGTATAGCTTCCATAGTAGGCCCGCCCGACATAAATCCAAATTGATTATGAGAAATTGTTATAATACGTTTTAACCTATGTTCATTTGCCCTCTCTCATAGTTTAAAGTGTGACATATCAATTAGTTCCTCTATAAATTGCACACTCTTATGCATCCCTTTAATTTTAAAAATGTGGACCAAAATACTCTTCTTCCACTCCTCATGCATCGTTTTAGTTTTTAAAAAATATTAAAGAGTTTAGTAAGCCAAGAAATTCGTAAATCTCCTAAATATTTCTACACTTAAATTGGAATATCATTAGGTTTTACAAACTTTCCGCTCATAGTTTTCTTTAAAGCCTCCTCAACTTCTTTTTTTACTAATACGATGGTAAAAATGAGATATTTTATTATTCTTAACGATATTAAGATCATAAAATTCGATCGTATTATTAGAAACCTCATTGAAAAGTTTATCAAAATAACTCATCCACCTTTGGTGAATATATTTTTCTAAGAAAAACATTTTTTGATTTTCATCTTAATATACTTTAATTGACTCAAATTTTTACTTTTCTTCTCTCTTTTTTTTTGACTAATTAATACATATATTTTTCACCATCTTCAGTATCTAACCTGTTATAAAGATCACTAAATGCAGAATTTTTAGCGTTACAGATTGTTCTCTTAGCCTCATAATAGGTCTTTTTATATTTTTTCCAGTTCTATAAGCTTTTACATTGAAACTAATTTTTATAGCATAACTTCAATTTTATCTATTCTTGCACATTTTTATTCCTCCACGAACTATTTTTATTTTTGTGAATTTTTTATTTTGATTCTTCAAGTACATCTTTTGCCGCTTGTTTGATAGTGTTTGTTACTTTATCCCACATATAAATTGCTTTTTCATGAACATCTCAAATCTCGAAATCTTGAAGTTTACTCATAAAAATAATTTTATTTGTGTTTTTTAGGTGCCCCCATTTATTTCTATGACAATAATTTCTTGTATTCTTTATTTTAGAAATTTTTTTCTTAAAATTCAGAACTAATAATCGATGTTAGGCATTTAAATTCTCACTTATGATAACTTTACAATTTTTACATTCTCGACGATCCCATCTTCTCATAAGAAAATAATCAATTTGTGTTTTATTAGATCCATTCTTATAAGTAATAATATGCTCATCACTTTTTTTGAATAAAATATTAACAATAACAAAATCATACGGTAAAACAAAATTTAATATGACTCTACCTTCTTCATTAATCACTCCAAAACCATAGCAATCATGAATATTTCTAAAATTTTACATCACTATACCAACATGTCCATTTAAATTTTCTCCAATAAAAATTCTTTTTTCACGAGTTATCACTTGTATTAATTCTTATAACCATTCTAGAGTTTTTTTTGAAACCTATATCTAAACCTACTTGGGAAGCATATGCTCTTATAATATTAAAAATCTTACTATCAACAACAATCTTAAGGGCTATAATTATATCTCCAAGGGCTATAATTAATCTTAAGGGCTATAATTATATCTCCAATTCTATTAATTTTATAACATTATCTTTCAAACTCTTTTCTTTAATTACACCTACACCATCTCTAGTGCGACTTTACCTGAATATTAAAATTCAAAACCTAAACTATCAATCTCCTTATCTTTTTATCCAACCCATCTAGATTCTTGAATACATAAAATATTTATCTTTCTCTGAATCATAATATCAATTAATTCCATGAGTTTACCTATATTCCAAGATCTTATCCTAATATTAGTTTCATAAACTAATTTTTTTATCCACATCCGTTCATAATGTGAGAACCCTTGATCCTGACACCACATCCTGACATCAGTTAGTGACCCTTGCACACATTTTCACTGTATTTAGACCATACAACGCTTTGCTTCTAGTGGAAGCCCTAGCATTTACATAATGATGAAAAGGATTTATGTTATGATTTTCCGATAAATTTTACGCTGGTTGTTAACTACCTAATGCAACTCTCCACTTTTTACATCCGGAGCTTGGGACTTGGCAATGACAGTGATTGAATGTTTTTTTGGTATAATCAGGATAATTTCTTATTTTGGTTCAATTAGATTAGGATCAAACTTGAATTTGGTTCCTATATTTATTTAAATAGGAGACCTTCAAAATGACAACAAGTTCTTTTGAAGATTGAGGCAATCAAGTTTTTCCTATTCATATCTAGCTCCATAGGGAAGTTTCTATTTCTCTTACATCTCATCACCATAAAATCCTATGACTATCTATCAGTATTTTGGGCAAATATCCCTATTTTTTCTCAGCATTGAGTGATTGAAAACACCTTTTAGCTAACTCACTTTCTTTAACTTTGCTGTTGATCACTTTGGCTAATTCAATCACCATTGACCTCCCTCATTTAGCTGTACAAGCTTGACTTCTTTTTCCTACATGAACTCTCAATAAAAGAGGAAAGGTTTTGTATGTTAAAAATACTTAGATAAAGTTTAGAGTGGCTACATTTCATGGTACTATACTTCTCTCCATACTATTTGATTTCATATAGATAGGGGCCTTGCATTTATCTTGGGTGATTCATCCATAGAAATCTTTTGTTCTTGAACCTAAGAGTTTGCATAAGTCTATCACAAGCCCACAAGACCTAATTTTCTAATCTTGATAATTTCCTATTGGTTCCATAAGCTCTCTGCATATAATAATATCATGTCAATTATTATATTATGATGCAGTTCCTACCTATATAATTTCATTTTTCTTTGGTTCCATAAGCTCTTTGCATGTAATTTGAAGCTTTATTTGTTAGTTTCTTCTTTGCTTATTATTTGTTGCTTGGTGAAGTCCTGAAGGATGATTACATCGATGAAACAACGTTCATTCCTAAAAGTGAAATTTCAACACCTCAGACTAATTACATTCCTTGAATATGAAAGCTTTGAGAATGGAGAACTTGTGGAAAAATGAGCAAATAATTACTCAATTCTTTCTATATTTCAATTATTTATGTATCTTTTTTCCAAAGTATTAAAATTAAAAATCTGACATTATGCAATTTTTATTTATTTACAGGCACAGCACTATGATGCTTTAAACCTATGCATGAAAATGTGTATTTCATTTTTGAAAAGTGTGAATAGTGCTATTTTTTATGTGATATTAAATATTTGAGTGCTATGTGTGTAAATATGGAAGTTTATCTGTGAGATATGTAAATACATAATAATTGTATGCCACGTATATAAATGCCCCTTTGAAAAATTTACTAGGCTTAATCCCCGTCTCTCGGTGATTGAACTCTACTTTGTATAATGTTAAATGTTTTATTTAATACATTCAGTTTTTAAAAATTGGCTAAAGTTAGTGGTGATGATGATAATGATACGATAAGAATAGTTTTCGACTTTTAGGGCATCTCTAATTGCTTAACTAGAAGGTGCTGGCTTTAATTTTGATGTTTTGGCCAGGTTGGATTTGGTTTATTTTGAAAATTTTCTATGTTAACTGTTGAGATTATTAATTGATGTCAGTGTATTAATTGGATGCTTGATAGAATGTTTTTCTCTTCTTTTCTTTTGCTACTTGAATGTAGCAGAACAATATTTCACCTCCCATACTCTTGTTTCTTACATCCTTTAATCATTCAACTTTGTTTCTTCAGCATTTGTGACAAATTGTCTTCTCATGCAAGCAAAAAGCTAGTTGTAGATTGGAATCTCACGTGTATGGATATCTATATTCCACATATCACATATGTATTTATGGATGTATATATGTATAACATATATGCATTTATTTATATTTGAATGAACGATGTTTTTTTGACAATGCACTGTAATTGTTTAGAAAAAATTTTATAATCATCACACAATTGTTCTGTATTTACATATCTCCAACCTAAACTTTCATATTTACATACATAGCACTTTGGCGCATTAAACTACTGCTTGAAACTGTGTATTTTGCTTTTAAGAAGTGATAATGGTGCTATTTGTGCTATTTTTGATGTGATAATTAAGATTTGAGTGCTGCGTGTAATTATGAAAGTTTAGGTGTGAGATATGTAAATACATAAGAATTGTGTGCAATGTGTGTGAATGCCCCTTTTGTTTAATATGGAGTCAATGTCAATAGGTGTAAGACTGGGACCTGATTTTATATATATGTCATCAATCTATAAGCTACCAATCAATATGCTAAAGGAATTTTGGTGATTGGTGGAAATTCTTGGCTTAGGATTTTGAAATTATATAGAAGATATAAACTGATATTCACTTTTAACCAGTAGTCGGGTTACTGCCATTGTGATATAGAGGCTATTACTTCAAATAAACAAAACAACCTCTCTATCTACGCAATGTTAAGGTTGCGTGCATGGGCTCATCGTCTTCTCCAAACCATGCAGCTGGTATGAGCCTTTTGCATCGAAAATACATGAACAAGTGGGCACAAAACAATAGCTCTTTTGTGGCTCTAACAAATAACTTTTATGATTATGAAACTTCAATTTTGAGTAGATTGGAATATAAAGAACTCAACAAGATTGAATTTTTGAGCAAACCCTGATAGGTGCAACATTAACATGTTTTAGTGCAATGCACTGCAAGGCATATTCTATCAAATTGTTACATAAATTCTATCAATTAATACAGCCTTTCCTCATTTGAACTAACATGTTCTTTTTTGATTTGTAGAGCTTGAAACAAAAAGGATATTGCTTGATATCTTTAAAGAACGGCAGAAGCAAAATGCTGAAGCAGGCACAATACCTAGTTTCTACAAAAAGGCATGCTGACGAGTGATTCTTTTTGTTGTTTCTCCTGCACTGTAATGTTTAATTTGTGCTTCATAGTTGATTAGGGTGGCGTTTGCAAGCCATTTGCTTGATATATCTTACCCCTCCAATCTACTAACTCCTACTGGTATTTAATGAGGAATAAGTCTCTTTGATTCTCCTTAAAAGAGCAATTTCTTATTTAAATGTGTTTTGGAATAAGGCCTGCTTCTAAATTTTCTGTTCAATAGTTTCTTTTTTGGAATCCATCTCAAGATAATATTTTATTTCTTTATTTTGTGAACAGAAACCTGAAGAAGGCTCAATCAGCCAAAGAGTTCAAAGATTAGCAAAATATAGATTTTTAAAGGTGTGAACTTACCTGGCTTAATGATAGTTATGCCATTTTTCACTAGTGCTTGATTTAGAATTTTACTTGCTGTATTAGAATAAACTTAACTCTTTATTTTTTTTTTTATCTTCTGTTATTCAATCATGATTGCCAAATTGAATTGTTTCTACTTTCTGAATATTTGCCCTTTTGTTTCTCATTTTTTTGCACAAGTATCTTTTAATTGGGGCGTTTACATATATGTCACTCAATTCTTATGTATGAACATATCTAACACCTAAACTTTACTTATTACATATACTTTTAGGAGTTATATTAGGAAATAATTTATTCTCGTGAGAAATTATGAGGAATAAATTATTTTCTTGGATTAAGAAGTTATTTTCTTTCCTAGTTTATATTTATTTCCTTAGATTAGGAATTATTTTCTTTCCTATTTTAGGTTTTTCTATTTTATGTTATTCCATTTATCTCCAAGTAATTAATATGATTTGATTATTGGAGATATTAGCTGATATATCTTTCATTTTCTTGTTATTTCCTTTTATTATCTTTCATATTCTGTGATTCATGTAAGAATTATTTATACCTCCTTTTATATCATTGAAAAATATTGAATTTTGCTTTATTCCATATTATTCTGAATTCAACATGATATCAAAGCCTCGAAAAAACCTTAGGGTCTCCTACCATCAGAAAACTTTTTATTCTCTACAATCGACAATCTTTGCCTTGCTGCAGGCCTTTCTTCGGCCTTGTTTTTTCAGTTTTTTTACCACTTAAACTTCCTCTCCTTGCAGGCCTAGCCATCGAAACTCTCTCCCTGTAGGTCCTAGCCATCGAAACTCCTCACTTTGCAGGCTGTAACAACCGGAACCTCCAGTAGGCCGCCTACTACTATTTTTTTCTAGCCACTGACTCCTTCTACTTGCCGGATTTTCCTTACAGGATTTCCTCAGAACCAACTCTTCCTTGCAGACCCGACTCTCCTCATCTCCCTGCAACTGCATCTCCTTGCTGCAAGCTAGCTACTCCTTGCTGCAGGCCCACTACTCCTTGCTAAGAAAGTTCTAACTGCTTGGAGGCCCATATCTCTTTCTCCAAACTTTTCTTCATGTTGCCCGGATATTTGCTGCAGAAGCATCTAAAGCAGCGTGCAATCCCTCAATCATCATCATCAGCAGCGCCAGTATCTGCTTTGTCATCCGATACAAGAGCCGAACATTTGGGCTCATTGATCCTTCAGCTAGAAAGATCTGCTATTGGAAATATTCCTGAAGTGCTATTCTAGACAAGGATCAGGCCATGAATTTCCGAAAGGCCGGCGCCGCCTTCGTCGTTCGGCTTTTGAGGGGTTGTTTTGGCTCATAATTGGATTTCAATTCATGGGGATGCTTGCCGCCCATATAGACGTCGATTGGAGGTTCAACTTTGTGCAAGTGAGTTGCCTGACAAATTTTTTTTTACTTCTGTGTTGCTTCGGTTTCACCAAATTGGGAGTGGAGGGATTTCCCACAATTACTGAAAGTTCCTTCTTCATTTCTGAGAGATTCTCATTTTGTGGATCCAAAATTTCTAGTTGGCCATGAAATGCTTCATCTCACCTCCAAGTTGAAACAGGTCACGATGGAGGGGAACCCTACCATGGGCAGTGGGAGTTCCCTAGGGTCTCCTTAAAGGGCCGTTCACAGGTCACTATTGGTAGGTCGGAGGGTATTAGCTGTTGTATCCTGAAGAATCTAGCTGGCATGTTTGCTCTCCTTCCCGATCTGGGGACAGATCTTTGCCAGAAAAAGACATCCTTAAGTTGTCTTCTGGAAGAAACGAGAGCAAAGAAAGTAAGGTGTCTTCTCCGCCATCGCCTTTTCTTGAATCTGGTGGCAACTGTACTTAGTCGCACCTCATTCCTCCCTTAACTGCTCAGAGGTCAAAATATGATCAAGACCGTTCTTTGGGTCCGACCGCTGGAAGCCTCTTAAGTGGACTCGTCCGTCAAGTGTGCAAACGTTAAAGATATGTCGATCGATGGCTAAAAATGCCAGTCTTGAGATTTCGTTGCCCCATGTGAAAGAGTATCCTGCGAGATCTCCTTTTATATCTCACTTGTCGTCAGATGATAGAGCTTCAAGTAACAAGCCCCATCTTGGCTTTGGCCATGGTTTGGCGAAGTATGAGAAGCAAAAGGTTGAAGAATCTGCGGATGTTTCTAGCTATAATGGAACAACTCAGTCAACCATCAGGAAGGTTTCTATTCTTCCTGGATCCATGTCTCTCGTTACCCATACTTCGGTCGCATGCAGTTCATCTCTAGTTGATACAGATGAAAAGCTATCTATAAAAGGATTAAATTCTAAAACCAATCGAGCTCAATGCGGTGATTCATTAGGCATCGGGACTCATAATTCACTAGAGGATATTTCTGTTAAATTGGATCAATTGGATGCCAATTCCATAAGCTCCCTTGCTTTACTTCGTTGTTTTTTAGGGGCCCATTCCTTGCAGCAACCAGGCTTTCTTGTTTCTAGCAGTCTGGCTTCGTTGATTTCCAACAGTTGTCCAAGTTTCCAGCAGTCCGACTTTCTGGTTTTCAACAGTTTGACTTGATTTCCTGCAGTCTTACAACATCAGTCCTCTTGTGACTAAGAATCCTGGCGATGAGGTCTTCTCTAGTTCTACCGGCAAACAGGGGGAGGTTAAGGTTGTTGTCATTTCCACTGGCATCCATACATCCTTTGGCAAGGCTGCCTACCTTATTGATAACACCTACCAGGTTGGCCACTTCCAATAGGTTTTCATCGCCATTGGGAATTTCTACCATAGACACACCTCTGGAGCTTTCCCTA